CCCTGACCCACCTTGTCCCCCTCCCCCTGGCAGGCATCTCATGTGGCAAGTCCATGATGAGCTCTGTGAGCCTGATGGGGGGCCGGGGCGGAGTGCCCCTCTATGACCGGAACCATGTCACCGGGGCCTCATCCAGCAGCTCGTCCAGCACCAAGGCCACCCTGTACCCGCCGGTGAGTGGGGGTGGGAGCAGGGGTTCTGCACCATGAGTGGCTGGCCAGGGGACACTTCCTGTGACCTCAGGATTCCTAGAATTGTTAGCTGTCCTACCACCACAGAGAAGGGTGGGAGTGTTTGCTTTCTTCCCCGTGTGCATCTTCTCGTTTTTCTCTTGGGACATTTTCTCTGTGTAGAAGGGATACTCCTTATTCGTTGTGGCTAATCTGAAAACCCCATACAGATATCAGGGGTGGAGTCTCCCCCATAATCCCACCTCCTAGGGTTGCTGTTGGACATTTCAGTGCCCTGGTGACCACCTTCGTTCCTCATAGGCCCCACCCTGTCTATGACTGCCTCTTGTAGGGCCGGTCTGGGTAGGGCGATCCACTGGCCTGGGTGCCCTTCTCCTTAGCGTCCCTGCCAAGATCATATTTTCTCTCCCAAGGCCCTGCTAGGTTCCAGGAAATAGCTGGATTGTTTTCCAAAGGACTGTCACTCACAGGTGACTTTTGTGGCTGAAACACTCCAAGGAGGCCGTGTGGGCTGAGGGCCTGGTCCTAGCTGAGCCACATGCTACAGAGAAATGACCGTACAGAGGGTGAAACACTGAAGCCCCCAGTGCCCCCCACTTCCACCACGTTCCTGCCAGGGGACTTCTCCCGAGGCTGGCTGGAGGGGGGGGACACTTCCAAGAGCACAGCCCCAGGGACCTGGGTGAGCTCGATGCACCAGCGTGAATCTGTGTAGACAAGCATTGGGGTCTGACATTACATGGTTCTATACTTTTTAATCCTTACAAACCTGACTTCCTGCAACACTGTGCTCTTCTAAGCTGAACACTGCCTCCTGTGCTTTCTTTGGGGGTCTCCAGGAAGCCCTACCCGCCAGGGCTGGGTGTTTCTGCCTTTACTTTGTATTTTGAGATCATTGTCAATTCACATGCGGTTGTAAGAATACAGAGAGATCTCACGTACCCTTCACCCAGATCCCCCCAAAGGCAGCATCTCACATGACTAACGTCTTGGTCGTCCTCGGCTGCTCTAACAAAGACATCACAGACTGGGTGGGGCTTAGACAGCTGTTTTTCACAGTTTGGGAGGCTGCCTAGTCCAAGAGCAAGGCGCTGACAGATTTGGTGTCTTGTGGGGGCCCAGTTCCTGGTTCACGGGTGGCCGCCTCATCCTCCTCACAGGGCAGACGGGGTCTGTTATCAGGGTACTGACCCGGGTCATGTGGGCTCCACCCTCATGACTGAGTTACCTCCCTGAGGCCCCACCTCCCGATACCATCACATCAGGGGTTAGGATTCGGCATAGGACTTGACGGGGGACACACATGTTCAGTCTAGGGCAATAGCACCATGGAAGGAGTAGGACACTGAGAGGGTATTTTTTGGCCCTATTCAGATTTCACCAGTTCTACAAAGGTGCTTTTTTTGTTAAGACTTTTTTAAGGGCAACTTTAGGTTCACAGCAAAATTGAGAGGAGGGTATTCGGGCCACAGGCGCCGCTGGGGAGGCCACCCATGCCTCCTGCCCCCCGCGTGGACAGCTTCCCTTAGTGTCACCTCTGATGTCCTGCACCAGGGACGAACCCACGCGGACACATCATAATCACACGAAGCCCACAGCTGGTAGCACTGTCCACTGTTGGTGTTGCGCACTCTGTGGGCTTGGACCAGCATGCAGTGACACAAACCCACCATTCTAGGATCATACACGGTAGTTTCATACGTACTTTCTGGAACCCACACGATGGCATCTAAAGGCAATGGTGGCCCCTCGCCCAACTCCGCTTTTTGCTGCTAAAGGAAAAGCCGGCCTTTCTGAGGGCGTCTGACACTCCGCACACGATGTCAGCCCGACCAGAAGGGGGCGCTCTCCTGAGCCCGCGTCCTTGAGGGGCTGCCCCCGCCCCAAACTTGGGAAGAGCAGCCAGAGCACCGAGCGCTGGGGGAAGGGGCAGTGACCACCCGCAGAGCAAGGGATTTGGGCAGAATCCCAAAGCTCACCTTGGAGGTGGAGGTGAAGGGAAACCAGGTCCAGTCAGATTCATGGGCAGAAGAAGAAACAGGACCCCAGGGGCGTGGGGTGCAGGGGCGGTTCTAGGAGGCCGTTTCTGCTGGGCTTCCCCACCTGGTTTCTGCTCCCCCCTCTGAGTGACACCCCCTCAGGATCGTGCCCTCCCAACTCTGGGGGCAAATCCTGAGCGATCCCCAGGCTGGCTATTTGGGCCGAAGAGGACCTTCCCCAGAATAAGGACTGGGGGCTCTTGCCACTTCCCGAAGGGCACTTCTTGTAGGCTACTCACCATGTGTCACCAGGGGGCACGCCGCAGCTGGGGAGTGATCAGGACCCATCTACACCTGCCTGTCAGGAAGGGCTGGGCCCTTTCTTCTGCCCTCCAGTCCCTCAGGACACACAGTGCCAGCCATGTTCCCATTCAGCTGTGAGAGCTCCGGAAGCAGGGTCCGGCTGTGACCCCACAAAAGCCCCGCATGCCCAGAAGGGCCATGTGATGGTGGGGTGCTGTTGGTGGCAGCTGCCGGGGAAGATGCAGATCTGCGTGCGTCACCGGGGGCCCCGGGTCCCTCTGTCCCTCTGGGGGGCCGGCCCTGGGCTGCCTGGCTCTGGAGGATGCACTGTATTCATTATCACAGTCTTGGGGCAATACATCCCCTGAGAAGGGGGCACCTTCCCCTGGTTTGCGTGGAGGGGCTGGGGCCCCTCCCTCAGCGTGGCGCCCCCTGTTCGTGGTCGGGGTTCCTGCCGGAATGCGGAGCCACCTTAGTGTTAGGAATAAGGAGGGTCTTGTAGGAATTAGTCTTCACACCATGTGGGGAGAAATGGGGAAGTCACAGTCCAAAAGGGGAGTTAGAGAAGTCCCAGAGAAGCGTCATGAGGCGCCCACTGGCACCGGGGTACACCCCAGGGCCTGCGGGGACATCTGCTGCTGGGTGTTGGGGGGCAGTGCATGGGGCGGGTGCAGGCATCCAGGGACCTCTTTAGAGCCCGGCTGCGCATCGGGGTGCGGGCCTGGGGTCCCTGCTGGGCCGCAGGGCGGGTATTCGGGCCACAGGCCCCGCTGCCTCTCACTGTGACCACCTGCAGGGGTGACAGGACAGCTGTTGGTTCCCCACAGTGTGGGGCCCACATAGCCGGGTGGGCCCCGTGCAGACCTGTCCGCCTGATCAGGAGGGCGGGGCGCCACCGGAAGCGCATAACCCTTGCTTGGCTCTCCTCAGATCCTGAACCCGCCACCATCCCCCGCCACGGACCCCTCCTTGTACAACGTGGACGTGTTCTACTCTTCAAACATTCCCACCACCGCGAGACCCTACAGGTACGAAGTCCCTGCCACAGCCCTGCACACCCGGGGCCGTCTGGGCCTCTGGACAAACCTGTGGTAGAGGCGGGGTCTTGTCCCCATTTCCTCGGTGAGAAGACCTGGCAGAGAGGGCCAGGGTGCTGGTGGGCTCTCCTGCGCCCTCAGACCGTGCCCGGCTTGCCTCCCCACGGAGTGAAGCGGGTCTGCCTGTTGAGTCCAGAAACCAACCAAATCCCGTGTTGTGAGCAGGCTCTGGAATCTAGAAGTAGCTCTGGGGACACGCCCAGGCAGTCGTGGCCTGGAATGACGCCACCAGGGGATTCCCACTGTGGTGTGGCCGGGGCCCCCACCGCCCAGGGAGGCCAAGGCACGGGGGGCCAAGGTGTGCCTGTGTTTGAATCCAGCCGCAGGACCACCGCTTGCTGCCTCCGTCCCGGAAGGCTCAGGTCCAAGTCACATGAGTGCTGGTGTGGCCCCTGCCACCGTGGGGCCTCTCTTCCCACCCACCACAGGGAAACCCGCAGGTCTGCTCCAGTTGGGGTTGCATTCCCTGCCTCCCTGGGTCAGGGCTGGCGGGGGGCGCGGACCTTGAGAACGTTGAGAAGAGGGATCTGGGTGTGCTGGCCTGTGTCCAGGGGCCGGGTTGGGGCCTGAGGTGACCTTCGACCCAGGGCTCTCAGCCTACAGGGCCTGCCACACAGGTGCACTGGACCCCTCACCCCACGGGAGCGGCCTGAAGGGGCAGGCGGAGGCAGGGGCTTGGGAGTGGAGGCCCCTCGTCCTCATCCTCCCCCTTCCCCCTCCCCCTCCCCCTCCGGTGCAGAGGCGCCTCAGAGCGTCGCCTGCCATCTGGTGGCCATTTCAGGAACTCTGGGGCCTGAAGAGGAGAGGTGCCCCTTGTTACCGAGTCACTGCCCTAGTCAGGGACCTGCCGTGGTCCCCCCGGTGCCTCAGCGCCCCAGTGTGTCCCCAGTGGCCTTGTTGGTGGCTGTCCCCAGGCTGTCACATGCACACTGGCCAGACCCCTCAGTCTCCGGTCCACCCCCGGCTTTACTCCTTATGTCCGATTTTTGTGCCACTTCTTCCCTCCCACACTGTCTGTCGGGGTCCCTTCCTGCCCCCCCCCCCAGGGTCCTGTGGGGCCTGTCCTCCTGCTGCACCGTCTCAGCCCCACGTGCCCCGTGCTGGCTCCCCCTCCTCGCCCTCGATGAGCCCCCTGGGGCTCTGAAACATACCATGGCCGCACCCCCAGCTCAGGCCGTACGGCAGCCCCACACAGAACCTTAGGGTGCAGGAGACCTCTGGGAGGCATGTCCTGGGTCAGATTGCCTTAACTCAGTAGGGCACCCTTCCAGGCCCACCGGTCTCCCGATATTTATAGGAACGATACCATGGGGAACGGTTGTCAAGCACTTTCCCGTGTCCGGCACTGTTTCTCGCACTTTCCATGCAGAATCGCATCTAACCTTCACGAGCCCCTTTGGAACCGGGTCCTGTTTTATCCTCCTCGTTTTACCAATGAGCAACTGAGGTCTAGAGGGGTTAGGTAGTCAGTCGCCCAAGGCCAGCCAGGCCGGCCCTGGAGGCCACGTTCTCCCCGAAGGCAGCCGCGGCCCGGGGCTGCCGTCCTTGCGGGGGGGCTGGCCTCGGCCGCCCTGGAGTGTGGCTGCCGGCACGCCCACTTGTGAGGTGGGGACGTGTGGCTCCGAGAGACCGCACGAGTGAGGGGCCCCTGAGCCGAGGCCCCACTCGCCTGTGTCCCCTCTAGGCCCTACATCGTCCGCGGCATGGCGCCCCCCACGACGCCCTGCAGCACCGATGTTTGCGACAGCGACTACAGTGCCAACCGCTGGAAGGCCAGCAAGTACTACCTGGACTTGAACTCGGACTCAGACCCCTACCCACCGCCACCGACGCCCCACAGCCAGTACCTGTCGGCAGAGGACAGCTACCCCCCTTCGCCCGCCACCGAGAGGAGCTACTTCCATCTTTTCCCTCCCCCTCCGTCCCCCTGCACGGACTCGTCCTGACCTCTGCCGGGCCGCCCTGGCCTCTCTGCGCCCTTGTAAATAGTTTTAAATATGAACAAAGAAAAAAATATATTTTATGATTTAAAAAAAATAAATATAGTTGGGATTTTAAAAACGCGAGAAATGTGAACAGTGACGGGGTGGGCAGGGCTGGGAAAACTTTGTACAGTGGAGAAAATATTTATAAACTTAATTTTTTTAAAACGTCACTGCCATTCTTTGGTGCCATGTGTGTTTCTGAATCGAGTGTCCTCACAGGGGATCCCGGCCTCCGGCCCTCCCCTGGGCAGCTGTCAGAGTTGTGCACTTGTCCGTCCGGAGCACCGTGTCTCTATCAGGCCCCCACAGGGTAGGCTGAACCCCTGGGCAGAGCCGTGCGGGCAGGAGGCCTGACTCGTGCCGTCATGAAGGGCCCCTGCACCTTATTTTGTGCTCTGCTGTTGCCATCCTGATATTCTGAATAGTTTTTAAGAAAGAGGCCCTGCCTTTTCATTTTGCGCCGGGCTCTGCAGATTACGTACTTGGGCTTTGGGCTATTCCTTGGCCAGTGTCTGCTTCCATCTGATCTCTGTGTGTGGCCGCCCCAGGCTTCTGCTGTCCCAGGGGTCCCTCCTGGCCCTGCCATCCATGTGGACCCCAGTGGATGGGGCTGCCAGGCCCCGCTCGCCCAGGGTGGGGGCGGGAACCTCCCAGCCCTCCTGCCCTCCCTGGTTGCCGCCCTGTCCTTTCCAGCAGACGGGCCCTGGAGAGCCTGGTCCTCGCAGAGGCAGTCAGTAAACACGGCCCCAGGCCTGCCCTGTTACCCACTGGGGTGGTACTGGAGGACACCAAGAGATAAGGCCTGCTGCCTGCCCCTGGGGGGTCTCCAGCCTGCAGGAGACTTGAGAAGTCAGCAGGTCAGGAGTCATGAGGAAGCCTGGCTGCCCTCCCCCAGCCACCCCGTGCCAGGCGGGAAGGGCCTAACCCCAGTTGGAATGTCGCAGGGAGGTTAGAGAAGAAGCACCACTGGGAGTCCCGGGCACACACTCCACTTAAGAATCAACACAGAGATCTGAAAGAAGGGCTTCCCAGCAGGACTGAAGATCGAAGCCTTGGCCAACCCCCCAGGGCCTGGAATGCGGAGGTGACAGCCTCCAGGATGGGGAAACCACAGAACACTCAGATCCCGGGGCCCCAGTGCTGGGAAAGGTGGTGGCCCTCGGGGCTCCCGAGACTGTTCGACCAGGGGACAGAGCTGGGGACGTCAGGTACATAAGCCTGCCAGGCCTGGTTTCTTGAGACTTTCGGGGAGCTGCCTCCCCTGCTCCCTGATTGCCCAGGAGTTCCCTGAGGTCATGGTTAGCCTTGGTGGTGATGCCCCTGGGACCAAGAGCAGACACTGGAGACGAGAGGATGAGGTGACCTGCCATTAGCGCAAGCAACAGGGAGCTCAGGAAGGCCAGGCCTGAGTACCGACCTGGGGTTGCTATGCCACCTGGTGGGGACCTACACTAAAGGACCCATTGCAGACAGGAGGGATTGGATTTTCCTGGAAGGCAGGCCAGCTTCACCTCTTAACTCACTTCACCCAGCTGGCCGCATCTGTTAAGGAAGGGCGCTGTCCCCCGCCCCCTAGGACTGTTCTAGGCTTCCATGAGATAATGCCTATCGAGAGAGAAGCCTTGCCCAGTAAGTGCCTGGCAGGTAGCACTTCCTCGGTAAATGGAAGCTGGGACCTATTAAAGCTCAGAGAGGTGACAGGCTTTTGCCCAAGGTCACACGGCTAAGGACCAGCAGAGCTAGAGGGTGCACCCAGAGCTCTCAGGCCCAAGGTGGGGTCCCCTGCCCCAGGGAGCTGCTTGCAGGGGCTTGGGGCCTCCCAAGCACTCGGGGTTCCTGTTCTTCCAGGTCGGGCCACAAGCCCTGAGGTGCTAATGAAAGCACTAATGTCAACTGGGGCAGATGGGGGGGGGGGGGACTTGGCTGACTCAGAAGCAGGAGTCCACTCTCCCGCCCTTCCTCTCACTCATGGGTGGTGGAGGTTCCCTCCGTTCTCCTAGGGCCAGCCAGGGATCAGGCAAGGGGTGAAGAAGGAGCGGGCTGAGCTGCTGACCCCTGGCGACAGGCATGGGCTGAGGGGAGGGTGGAGACACATTCTGCAGCCCTCTACCCCCTCTCCCCAGCATCCCACGCCTGTCTCCAGAGGCCACTCTCTGGACCCTTTCCTGCCATGAGGTCAGCTAGGAGGAAAGGGGGCCAACCTGCTCTGCCTGCTATCTTCCAAGTGAATCTGTCAGCACCCACTATGTGCAGAGAATTCAGTAAGCACCCACTGTGTGCAGAGCCCTGCACTTAAATCACATGCTGGGGGACCCAGAGATTAGTCAGATGTGGGCGTCTCTCTTGAGGGTGCTGCAGACAGTTTCCAAAGCTGAGGGCCAGAGCACTGTGTTGAGATAGCCGGTGGCCCAGAGAGAATATTCTA